CGGGCCAGGGCGATTTACCGGTACGGCGGGGCCGGGCCGTGGCGCGGTGTCCCGGGGAGGGAGAGGCGCCCTTCGCGGCCTTGGCGGGAGGCAGGCTGCCCGGCTGCCCGGGCTTCTGACACCTCGGCTGGGGGTTGCGGAGCGGCTTACATCGTCGGGCGGAGGGTGAGCGTAGCGTGAAGCGCTTCCCTCTGCACCTCGCTGTTTTGCCAGCCGTTATGCTTCCAGCGTGGGGTTTTCCTCGTGCCCGCACGCCGCGTTTACCGCTTTTGCCACTTAGTGAGAGTCAGCGTAAGAGGACGTAGCTCAAACTTATTCTTTCTTTTAATTTTCAAATTGTTACTTATCTCCGAGTATCCGGAAATGATAATGACGTGAGACAAAGGGTAGAGGAGAAGGCAACGCTGAGATGACGTTTTTATGAAGAACTGAACCTGTGCCCTTTCCCCTTAGACTGTGGTATTCATCTGTCTGTAGGACCTGTGCCCTTATGAAGGAAAGGAACATTCTCATTTAGCTGAGTGTTGTTTTTCCTATCGTATATAGCTTCCCCTTGAATTTTTATTCAGATTGACGCTGAACCTATTTCACAAGAACCTAGTAAAAGTCGAGCCCCTCCATCAGTTCAAGTTTCTGCACACTACTTTGTCTCGGAGAGGTCTGGAGGAATTTTTTGATGATCCAAGAAACTGGGGAGAAAAAACAGTAAAGTCAGGTGAGTTATATTTAGCATTTCTGATAGTGATCTTTGAGCCACTTGTGCTCAGCTGAAATCTGACCTACTCTTTTGCATTATAGGAAGTATTCATAGCTACATAAAATTTTTTTATGTATATGTATGTAAATATGCTTGTGCATTTTATGCCTGTTAATTTTATTTTTTTGTGTGTATTCTGCGTTTTATGAAAGCAGATAGCTATTATGCAGTAAAATACCTTGCTGTAAATCCTCTGCCGTGCTCTTATGTGAGAGTGTATCACAGAAGAGACATTCTTTGATGACATATACAGTACCAGGGAAGAAAAGTATTTCAATATAAAGAATCATCTTACAGCTTTCCCTGTTCCTAGCCTTTTACAAACACAAATAAACAGTACATGTCATTGCCTTTTTAATGTATTTGTATATTCAAAGCAAAGCTGAATATCCACAGGAACAGCTTTCCAAGAGATAGTATTTTTTTAAAAAGTGATCCTTATTCTGTTGAGTCAGCAGACCCTGCTAATAGAAGCTTTTTTTTTTTCCAGAATAAGAGAAGTTTGTTCTATTTAATTGATTTTTTTTTTTTTTTTTTTTTTTTTTTTTTTACAGGGGATGCATGGAATATAAAGCAGCTAAGGGGCAAGAGTAGTGAAGACTTGCACAAACTTTGGTAAGTTTTAGTGAAGTAGCTTCTCTTCTTTCAAAGCAGCTCTGCCTGTTTTATTAAACTGTGGCTAGTGAACTTACTAGCCAGTGAATTTAGTTTGCCATACAGCTCTGCATGCTTAAGCCTGCTTTGGGCTTGGAGCAGCCCAAGTTCTGGTACTGCTCAGAATACAAATGCTGTACTGCAACTGCAGGTGGTTGTGTGATAGTTGCGTCTAGTACAAGGGGTTCAGGTTTGGTAACGAAGAGGCTGTGTCTGAGCCCTCTGGGGGTTGTTCAGACTGCAGGACAGGCTTGGTTGTAAGTGACCTCTGGTGGGCCTAACCACTGTATGAGATCAGGTTGCTCAGGTCTGCATCCATTCTGATTTTGAAAGTCTCGCCACTCTAGGCAACCTGTGCTACGGCTAAACTAGTGCTGAATTATTACTGTGAATAGTTTTTTCCTTGCTGTATCTTGTCCTTTTGCTGTGCACCTGTAAGAAGAGTCTGGCTCTGTCAAGGTATTGGAAGACTACTTGGTGTTAACCTTTTCCTTCCTTAGCCCTCTTTATTCCAGGTTAAGTAAACCTGTCTCCCTCAGCCTCTCCTTGTATGTCATGTATATCAGCCCTCCCCTGCCCGCCTCTACGGGGCTTTCTGCAGTTGGTCAGTATCTTTTCACTTCTCTATATGAAGCTAGCAGGTATAGGATATGGGATTATAGGTTGGACAGCTGTGCGCTATCCAGCAGGGTAGTGCATGAATAATCCAGAAATTATTTCTGAAGTACTATGCTTTCTGATCTAGGTATGTCCTACTGAAGGAAAAAAACATGCTTTTAACTTTAGAGCAAGAATCAAAACGACAACTCAGGCCTATGCCAAGTCCAGAACGATTAGAAAAGGTAACTTTTTCATACTAGCTAAAAATATAACTCTAAGTAAAATTGCTGAGTGAAAGGTGAAGTGTTCATAAACTTGTTAAAGACCATTTTTAAAAATTATTTCCCTGATTTTAGTATATGCACAAACACTGTGCTCAAGCAACATAGTGGGAAAGACCTCTCCACCTGTTACATAATGTTAAGAAATATTTTGCCATGTTCATGCCCTGAAACTGCACTAGAGGATTTCTAGAAACTTCCTGGTAAAACTTCAACATTATCTCTATCCTTACCCTCCACAAACTTTTTTTAGCTACTTAACTGTTGCCAACTTCTTGCCTCTGACCTTGTCTTCTCCAAACTTGAGCCCTTTGGTTCTTTGCTGTCCTCACTTTTGTCATTCGTTCCTTCTTTTGCATTATTGCAATTCTGCCACTAATTTATTAAATTCTTTCCCTGGTATCTTTGCCACTGAAAATTTCATTTACTTATAAATCAATTGCACAGATGGAAATCTGCACCTTCACTGGCCAATTAAATAATCCAGCTGTTTGACATGAGAGATATTCTCAGATACCCCCCATTTGTCCAATTTATTTATGGAAGAGTCTAACCATTACATTGTTAATTTGAATTTCTTTGTATAGTTAATAATTTAACTGTTACTTGCCGTAACACACATCCGCAACTGCATTGTGATCTCTCTTTTTTGTGCCAGACATTGCTTTTTTTGGTCTTCTACTTGTCATTTTCATTGCTGTACTTATAAATTAGGGGAGATCTAATGTAAAACCCTGCTCTGGATCTCCTAGTGTATCTTGTTCTAATTTATGCTAATATGGTTTCTCAACTGTACTTCGATTCCCATTCTGAACAGTATTTTCTGCTTAGTCCCACCTACACATCCATATTCAGCAATTAAAAATCACAGTAGAACTTGTTTTGGGAGGGAACTTAAGTAAGTGGCCCCAGCACTTCAAAAGTTAAATCTTACTAATTGCCTGTTTGGTTTTGGCTGAAGCCCAAGAAAAGTAGAAGTCAAGCACCAGTTAAATACTATGATTGCACAGAGACAAAATACAGCCATCTGCTTATTAAAATTAGCTCTAGCTGCTTCCCAGAGCAACATTTAACATGTTGCCATATGTAATGTGTGGTACAGCAATATTATGAGACAGACCTGACTAAAAACCTTCAACTCGAAGTGTCATAGTTTGGTCAAGGCAGCTTTCTAATCAGCCAACAGGCATTACTGAGGCTGTGACCAGACTCCAGAGTGAAAACTAGAATAACAAACAGCCAGTGCAAACCATCTGACAGAAACACATGCAGCATGTCTTCTATTTGCTTCTACTTCCTTTCTGCCTCAGAGCTTTCTGTACTTCTAGCATCAGCATTAGATCTGGCTTTGTGTATTAGCTAGCTAGTCTTTAATGAAATATCAGACTGTCAGTTATTTCATATTTGTTCTGCTTGCAAGTTAGGTTTTTAAAGCACCCATTCTTCACTGTCCTAGTACACAGAGCCAATTCAGCTGTTTCACTCAGTCCACAACTGTGAGATGGCTCACAATGGAACTCCTAGTGTGTTTTACCTTTGCTTTTCCTTTAAATTTTGTCTTAAATCTTCATTTGAGATCTTTTAAATTGCCAGCATTGTGTTCTGTTGGCCCAAGCTGAAACCATTTCCTACTTCCAGGTAGAAAAGTCTATGAAAAATATAGACTTGGTTGTCAGAGAGAGAGAAATTGCTTTGAGGCTTTTACAAACTGGCCATGAAAAACCAGTACCTGGCGAGTGGAGACATGACTTCTTAGGACGCACCTACTGGTAAGGAAAAGAGAACTTTTTTTTCCATGTGTGTCAATTTTGCTTGCGGTACATCTCTTTACTAGAAAATCCTTATCTAATCAAGAAAGGATACATGTACTGTATGGAGAGACACATGTTTTCTGGTCAGCATTCAGGTGCTTCCTGAGTTTTGTTTTTTTGGTTGTTTTTGTTTAAATGTGGTTATAATTGCTACTAAATAATTCAAACTCTACCATTAATTATAACAAAATTAGCTCCATGTAACTAATATGATTTCTGTACTCAGAGGATGTCTGTTACTGTAACTATTCTGTAACACATGAATGAACTAGGGAGTACTGTTCAAGTTGAATCACCTGGACTTCCCTAATTATAATGCAAAATCCATATATTGGGCGACAACCACCCAAAGTACTGCATGAGACCACATAAACATCTGTTGGAATTCCCTACTAGTCTTGGCAGATATTTAACTTTGTTGGAAGCTTCTACCTTTAGAATTATTTATTGTCCAGATACTTTCAATAATCTGTAATTTCAGGTAATGACGCTGAAGTCTCTGGCAGGACCTGCTATTTCATTAACCAGTATTTTACCCTCATCATATTGGCATTTGAAGCACTAACTACAGTATTCAGCTCTGCAATAACAGTGTAGATAACAGAAGGTCACACATTATAATAATGCTGAATTTTCATTTGTTTACCCATTAAATATAAATCAGCAGAGTACTAAATGCACTAACCATTAGATCTACATCTTTAGGGATGAGGCTTCTGTATACCTCTTTCTGCTTGGAAAGATTGTCCATGAAGAAGGGTTTGCCCATATACTTGGAAGCCCAGTCCCCAGTTACAGCAGGGGGAAGGGACAGACAACATGAAATGGTCTTTAAGCATATGCATGCAGAACCTCTGCAATACACATAGTAGTAGGTCTGATGCAATGTGGATGCACTGGAGTCTGTAGGTGAGTCTGCACAAGCCATCTCTGCAGCCCAAATGCAAGAAAAACCCCCAAAATAAATAAGAGTCTATATTTAGAGGGAAATACTTACATTCAGGCAGATTTGCTCTTGACATGACACTCCTAATACTGGCATTTAAAAGAAAATTGTAGTAGAAACAAAACTCTCTTCACATGCAGTTTGTTCACATCAGCTTTTGGAAGTTTTCTTATGAAGGAGTAACTTTAAAATATAAATGCAAAGAATCATTATCTACTATACTGGGCCCTCTCTTCAAACACCTACAGTTTTTAAAGTACGACCACTTTCTACAGAAAGATGCTGAGCTATGTATGAGATGTAGTTATAAACCAAGCCAGCAGTAGAGCTGAAAGTAAATACCCACATAGAAATTCTGCGATCTACTGGTCAGACCACTTAATCACTGTATTGTAACCAAGTGTAACTGGTAGAATCCAAGAATGAAGACAAAAAGTATACATTCTATAATCACTTATCTGTCTTTAATAGGTACACTTATAAGGAATGGCCAATACCATGGTACTTGAACAAAAGACACAAAAGGAAGAAATTCTATTACTTACCTCATGTGAATCACTTCATCAGGTAAAAAGACTTTTTTGACATTGAAAGTTATTTTCTGATCTGTTCTTCAGTCCTTCTTATTCCACTTTGCAAGGAAAAAATAGTAGTAATCTTGTTCTTTTTACAGCTAATAGACTGAAAATAAGGCTTTTTAAAATTACAGCTTGCTCTGTTTCATTTTGCTCTTCCCATTTTAGTTATTAAGAGATTTGGTTATCTATGAAGTTGCACTGTAAAAGTAACTTTACATGCAGACTACGTAAGATCCTCCCAGAGGTTGAATTTCTGTAGAACTCAAAAGCAGAAGAAAAAAATTAATTTGCCTTGCAGGCATTTTTGCTTATCAAAAGCTAATTAACAGTGACGTTGTTAATCACTGGGAACCTCTATTTCATTAGAGGGTTGAGCTTATTAAGGTTGTTACAAGCTATCTGGAAGTTAACCACGCTGACTTCTTTATTTCAGGCTCAGACTTGAAAAATCTTTACGCAGAAGGGCAAGGAGGCAAAACCTAGAGAGGACGAGGCGGAAGGTCTTGGAAAGGAAGTTCCCTCACCTTGCCATAAAATCTCAGAGCCAGTAACATGCTGGAAGAGCGCTGCAAGCAATTGGTTGAGTATCTCTGACTGGAACATGAAACAAGTTCTGAAACCAGTGAACAGCTCGACTGAGCATTCCTGAGAGTCTCTTTTTTTTTTTTTTTTTTAATCCCACATTTGACCTAAATTAAACTTGTGATCTGGAATTAAAAAGCAGCTTTGGTGCATAACTCAAATTAATCCTAACAGTTGTTTCTAGAAATATTTGAAAAATGACTTATTAACCAGCTATTATGAAAGTAAGATATACATCATTAATAGTGAAAAGCAGCAACTGACTGCCAGATGAAAGTATAAAGTGTAGGGATAATATTTACCTGGTTTAGTTTAACAAACATGCATTAAAACCAGACAGAAACACGAGAGCCTCTGAAGCTCAAGTACTAGCCTTTGTTCCCTGATCATCTGAGTTACAGGTATGTCACCCAAGTTACATGTGCTTTCTGCACAGAAGCATGGGAAAATACACTCTTCAGTCTGCTACGGCGAACTTTTTCCCTGTTTTAAGTCTGGCTTGTTAGAAAGTATGAAATATTTAGTGTGTCAACTTTTAACAATGCAGTCTTTATACCTAGATTTCTAGGTACCTATGACAAATTCAAACATCTATGCAATGTTTTTTTGCAGTGTGCAAAATGTTTGAAGGAAGACTGGTAATAGTCTTCTATGAAATCGAAGTAGAAAGGTACTGCTGCTGCTCCCAGTTGATGGTAAACACCTACTTCATGAAAGCTTTTAACCTTCAGATGAGATTGTGCAGAAGTTTAGAACAAAGTCACAAATACTAGTCTTTCAGGAAGCAAATGTGCTATGCAATATAATCTCATAAAACATGGGAAACTCCAAGGGAGCCAAAACTGTAAGAGATAGACGTCTCTCCATCATCTTGACCTTCAGTTACTCCTCTGCATCACACAAAATACCCAATTCTTAAACCAAAACTCTACAGAAAGTGTTTTGCTCTCCATAAGGTGCTAGAACATTCACAGATAGCACCATTATACTGTAATTTAAGATACACAGAAGATAAAAGTTGGATTAGACATAATGAAACCTAAGCACATGACACACAAGGAAAGCTTAAAATGCAGTCACTTCACAAAGAGAAACCAAAAAAGCCTACTTTAGATCTTAACCTCTAGCTACAAGTTGTCCAGTCAATTTTAGTACTTCACTGATGCCACAGTAACTTTATAAAGCGTTACTCATTGCAGCATGCTAAGTTACGAGTTCAGGTGATGTTGCACATTCTACTTGAATGCAAACTAGACCAAGTCTTTTTCTTCCAGTATGACAACACTAGCTAGTGGCTTACATCACCTATTGTAGCTGACTTTAAGTTTGCCTCATTCTGTGAGAGAAATATGGTTGGTCAATAGCTTTGAAAAATCTGGACTAAACAACTTTGTCTCGAGCAACTAATGGTTATCATGATAAGACAAAAGCAGGTGGTTTTGATGATAAATTACTTTATTGTTTGGAGGTAATGTGAAACTGTTTCCAACTAGAGGCCTCATCATTATTTACCCAAAAGGTCTTTTAGGATATGAAAAATTTAGCAGTACTGTTTACGTTTTTGGTTTTGTTTTTTTTTTAAATCAGTTAAATCCTATTTGGTTTTCCACAGCTTTTAAGATAAGGAGCAAAACTTCATTGTGTCCCAATACAGAACATAACACAGCTGTCAATTAAAGTAAGCTTAAGAGTAACATAGAACTGCATCTTGACAGCCAGTTCCTGCTGGAAAAAAAAAAAAATCAACTGACTTCCTCCAATCCTGAGTGCACACTCCCCATTGCAAAATGCAGGCACTGACTGACCCTGCTATGAGTCAGCTGAGGGGGCTATACCAGCCATAAACCAGTAGTGACTGCCCCTTTGAGTTAGAGCTCCCTGTAAAAACATCAAGCCACATCCTGAGGTCTTCTGTAACTATTCTGGGCTTGGACAGACAATTCTTTGCCTTAACTTCCCTGGCTCAAACAAGTTTTGCTTCTCACCTACACCACAAAGGCATTATATACATTCCTAGAAATCAGGTGGAAAGCACTGATTCTTTACTGAAATGAAACTGCTCCATAATAGAAAATTAGCAAACCAGTGCTTAATGTAACATTCACTACACGGAATGTAACACTTCCACAGGACAGTAAAAGTTTACACTGAACTGAGTCACCTATAGTAGATTACTAAATACAAACTTTCCATTTTTAAAACAAAAGAGTAACTTTCTCTGCAAGTACTCACAAAGTTGCTCAAATATAAAATACGAAATTTTATTTTTTAAGAGAGAAAAAAGAGCAATTTAAGGCCAAAGTACCAGCAAGGAAGACTAATATGTGAAAGTAGACAAGAGATTTTTAATAAATCTGCATGGGCATTTGCAAGGTTATGCCTCTATCTATTAGCTAACCTGTAAAGCTGTTCCCAGGAAAAGATACTAGAGAAAATAGATATTTATACAAAATTATAAAATGCTTGTTACATGAATTATTGCTTTACAAGGGATGTAAACATCCTTTTTCTATGATAGTACCAATTAGGTCTCTCAAAATTTCTAAGGTTTGTTAAAATGGAACTTGAGTTATGCAAAAAATCCAATATAAACTTTCTACAAAAAAGAGTCCATCACATTCCTGAGTATGCTAAAGCTATAAAACAGAAGGAGCACTGAGCAGGCAGCAGTTTTCACAGTCAGAGGTTTAAGGACATTTTCTTTCTACACACTGTTTCCCTCCTTCTTCATATTCTTGCTTAGAAATCCACATCTGTTGAAAAGTACCCTACAAAAAAAACCAACAAAAAACAACAAAACAAAACAACCACAAAACACACAATTAAAAAAAATTAAAAAAAAAAAATCAGAAAACAAATGAAGGTGAAGTGAAACATGATTAACTTTTCCTATGATGAAAAACAAGCAAATCTTTACATTAAATGAGGTTAGAGGACTTGACCTCCTTAACTATCTTTTCCTTTGAGTTTTATATTGCTAGCGATTAAACTAAAGACAGGAAGGTGCAGCACTGAAAGCTGATTTCAGTCTCCCTTTCCCATACTGCTAAATGAATCCCCACAAACCATTTCAGTACTCAGTAACTTATAGAATTAAGCTCAGGAATATGATGCAGAAACAGGTTTGCTACGTTCATAGTGTACTATATACATATCATTTCCGGATAGTGTACGTCAAGCCTGCACCTTGTCATTAAAAATGGGAGAACATGGCAAGTTATTTTTTGATTAGAAATGCTCATGTTTTGTTTTTTTTTAAATAGATTCTCTTCACCTTACCACAAGGATAGATAAGATTATTATTGCTAGGGTAGCACAAACCCTGCAACGCAGGCTTAAGCGGAATTAGCTTTTTCGGTGACAGTGCTGCTTAGCATAGCAACATAGTAACACAGGTTTACTAACCAAAGAAGCCAAAATTGAACCACCAATCCATGAGCTGAACCTCCGCTCCACTGTTGTGTTGTTCGCTATCAACTTCAGGCGCATGCTCTGAATAGAAAAGGATGTAAAATGAAAGAACAATCAGACAAACTGTAGGCTGGTGGCCTTTAGGGAGAAGAGAAGGACAGCACAAGGAATTTGGTGTATATACCAACATGCAGGCGAAACAGGTCAATTTTATTAAACTTGCAATAATGCTCATCTGCCCTGTACTTAGAATTCAAGAATAGCCACAGTGGAACAGAACATGTATGGCTTCTATCTTGTCTCCCAAGAGGGAGCAACAGCAAACGCTTAAGGTTAGAAATAGGGCAGGCAGAGAGCAATAATACTCGCACTATATATTGTCATCTCTAACACTGGGCTACTTAAAATGCGCACTGGGACTAAAATGTCTAACATTGCTGAACTTAATTCATCTAGTGCTTTTTAGACCCATTCCTTCCTTTTGTTTTCAAAATGCCTCATAGCAATAAAATCTTTGCATTTCAGTGGGTTCCTCCTCACCTATTACAAGAAGCAGTGAGTAACTACCTTTCTCAGTTTCTCATAACATTCATTTCAGAGTTGCTACAAGTAGAACATTTTTTCTTGAATATGAATATTCAAGAAATATCATAAGCTATATGTGCTCTCAAGAACACAGGTGTAAGGTATTAATACTTGCTTTAACATCAAGTGATTAAAAAAGAAAATACAAGTATGTTAAATCACCAGGTTTTATCTATGGGTAGGTTGAATTGCCTGTAGAATCCAGGAAGAACAATTCCCACGATAAAGTGACAAGACCTCAGGCAGAATGACTGAATATGCCGCAAATTAGTCAGCAACACTTCAGAAGAGAGACCATCAAGGGAAATAGTGGCTGTCGCTTAGGGACAATTATAGAACTTAGAATCACAATCTGAAAGCAGGAATGGAGAAGTAAAAAGTTCAGAAAGCAGTTGCAATATCTGCTGGAATTAATTTCATACAAGAACTTTTCAAGACTTCTTTCTTTAGAGAAGGAGATCTCTTGTCCCACAGAAATCTCTTCAGCTGTTGGGTTCCTAACAATGTGGAAGCTATGATACATGCATGTGAACTTATGTGACAGAAAAGCAGAATGATAAGTAACTCAATGCAGTAACTTAAAGAGTTGTTTTACCGGTGGAGTTTTCTGAGACAGCTCTCTGTTCAATCTGTCTGTGAAACTCTGTATTAGAGTGTTTCCTCCTGCTACAATCACACTGCCATAGAGACCCTAAAAAGAGAATAAGTAACCTACAATATTAACTCTGAAATCATTCTGAAAACAACCATTTCACAGAACAGAGAGGAATGGCACACAAGTACATATAATCAACAGCAATAATACAATTCCTTGATGCCAACAATATTACCTCTCCCAATCCAGTTAATTTTTTAGTCACCTGAAAAATATTTCAAGACAGCTTAATATTAAACTATACAAAGATGACAGAAGCTATGTGATTAATGGGTCAAAATGATTTCACAGAATATTTTCTACTACAGAGAACCCTATACCTACAGATATCTCCTGTAACCACACAGTTGGTTTTCCTACAGCTGGATATTCCAACCACACAGGAAAACCCCACAGCACTGCAACAGTTTTCAATCTTACTAATGCTGCAGTTGGTGAAAAAAACCATGGCCTGGCCTACTAAGTTTGCCTGACATGCCAGTTAAAAGGAAAAAATTTTTTAAAC